ACAAGCCTGAGGCAAGGGACACAGTGTGGTGAGAGGTTCCCACTCAGAAAAGGAGATGCTCTTCAGATTCTAACAAAGACTCTGGCCCTGACCAAACTTGAGTCAGGCTCCTCTGAGTCTTCTTTCTGACTCTTATGGGCTCTGTTGCTGGCCTGCTCAGTCCAGTTTTGATAAGAATCCTGCTGAGTCAGTTTAGCAAAAATCTCCTCCCTTGATATCTGATCAGATTCCTTATTCCCTGCCCCAATACTTATCATGCTGGCCCATCTCCTGCAAGAATCGTATTGAGTTTGTCTATCAGGAACCACCGCGCCCTGACGTTTCCTCTTAGTACTTATCTACCCAATGAGCCCAGTGCAGTTCTGCAGCTCTGTGTCTTCATTTGTCCTCATTGTACAGCAAGGGTAAGTCTGACCTCTCTCCCCAGTAGCGAAATCCCACTGCAGCATTCCCTTCTGGAATGAAGTCTTCCTTACCATCTTTAACAAGTGTCATACCTATTTTTTCTTGAAGAATTGCCGAGATGGTGAACCACCTGCTGCCATGAGCCCAGGTCTGCAGCTCTTCACCCAGGGCATCCACACCAGGACCTGTTTGGTAATCAGGGATGAGGGATCCCTTCCTGCCAACCTTCTGGTAAGTCAGACCCAGGCCAGTGGTCTCCAAGGTCACCCTCTCTGGGCTCCTCCTCCCTGTCAAGGCTGTGCTCAGTTCTCCAGCAGCTCAGGAGAAGGTAATTTTGTCCTTATCGTTTGTTATTGTGTGTGTTCCCTGTTCTTGAAGAGTGCTCTCCTCTCAGCAGCTGGCACAATGCCTGGCACTCTGTAGCTCAGTAAATACCTGTAAAATGAAAGGACGAAGGCTCCTGCAGAGAGAGGGAACTGGAAGAAAAGTGGTGCCTGTTGGCCCCAGACCTGGCCTCCCTTGCAGAGGCCTCAGGGAGGAACACCACTGGAAACAAAGATGGTCTTGTCAGCCCCTTCCCTCCCCGCCTTCTCGTTCCCGTCTGCATCCTGCAGTGGCCGGAGGGGAGGTAGACATGGGCTCCTTTGTTCCTTTGTTCTGCTTCCAGAGGCCTGGCAGCAGCTCCTGCTTTCCTCTGCCAGTTTTTCCCAATCCTGAGGGACTCACCCACAGGCCTTTCTCCATGAGTTGATCTTTGGTACACAGGTGGCCTCGGACTGTGATGGGGCACAGAGGGAAGCTGTCTCCCCACCGATGGCTTCCAGTCTTCTTCATCAGTGTCCCTAGGGCCTACCACATAGAATGGGCTCATAAAAAATTGGGAAACTCAGTCTAACGTGGGAACCTAGACCAGCACTCATCCAGTGTGGGCTATAGTCCCTGGTCCCTGATAAGAGTAAGTTCAGAAAATGATGAGGGTAAGCATTTTGAGATTTTAGCTTGATAAGAGTACTTTTATGACCATTGAATCAAAAAATCTAAAAAAGGGTTCAAATAAATTATCAAGCCAAGAGAAATCTTGAATGCATATTATCAAGTTGAAGAAGCCAAGCTGAAAAGGCTACTTGGTGACCAAGTGTCACTGGGATGCCAAGGTGGGTGGATCACTTGAGCTCAGAAATTCAAGACCAACCTGAACAAGAGTGAGACCCCATCTCTACTAAAATAGAAAAACTAGCCAAGCATTTTGGTGCATGCCTGGAGTCCCAGCTACTTGGGAGGCTGAGAAGGAGGATCACTAGAGCCCAAGAGTTTGAGGTTGCTGTGAGGTATGATGATGCCACACTCTGCCCAGGGCAATGGAGTGAGACTGTGTCTCAAAAAAAAAAAAAAAAAAAGGTATAGGGTAAATGATTCCAACTATGTGACATTCTGGAAAAGACAAAACTATGAAGACCATAAAAGGATCAGTGACTATCAGGAGTTAATGGGGAGGAAGGATTTTAGGACAGTGAATTTACCCTGTGTCATACTACAATGGTGAACTCCTGTCATCAGACACTGTCAAAATGTACATGGAATATGCAACACCAATAGTCAATCCCAGCGAAAGTGCTGGTCTTGCCTCTGCTCTGCTCTGCTCAATTTACTCACCCGCAAATTGGGGGAGGGGGGCTATCGTGACCTGATCTAGCCAATTCGTCTGTTTTTTTTGGTAAATATGAACCAATTAGAGGCCACAGACTCCTCCTCCAAACCTCATGATCAGGCCATTTGTATGAAAGAAAAGCTGAGGGCAATTCAGCTGGCCAGACACCCTCACTGGCAAGGCTGCACGAAGCAGTCTGTAACTTGGGAAAGTCCTCTCTGTGCTCAGAGCTTGCCCAGAAAGTTAAGGTCTGCAGAGGTGACAACATTCTGAAGGAGCAGCTTGGATTCTAGACCAAGTGGTGACCAGATTCTTCCGGCCCACTGGTGCACAGGCAACGATGACTATGTGGTCCTTCTAGCCGCCACATACCCATGCCAAGTAACCATGCCAGTTACTCCATGCCAAGTAACCAACCCTCTGGTGTAATTTTGATAGTCACATTGAAATGCTTATTCATCACTTCTGTACTGAGGTTTCCTAGGTTCTCCAAAGGCAAAATAGCTGCCCTCCCCATGTACACTCAGTTGACCTGTGAATATGTATGTCACATTAATTCTTAAGTGTATTATGCTATATTATACTTAAAAGTATACTACCATCCAGACAAATCAGAAAGGAGATAAATCACACGACCTCTGAGTTCCCTCCCATAATAAATATATATAAAATATTGTACTATACAATTACATATGTATTTCTTTTACTTTAATATTCCTTAAAGCTAGGGAAGCAAGACAGAAGTCAGTTTTTTGATATCACCAATAATTTCAGGTCCTAGAATTATGAGACATTCTCTAAGTTATAGGGTCAGTTCTGTGAAGTTACAAGTCCCTCTCCTCCTGGTAGCATCTAAGTGAAACTCTCAAGGATTTTTTGTTGTTGTTGTTGTTCTTGTTTTATCATTTGGGATTAATTGAGGGAACAAAAAATTAGGCTATACTGATTGCATTTGTTGGGTGAAGTCCCTTTTATAATTGTGTCCCAGCCCCAAGAGATGTGCCAAACACTGTGACCCCCCAACCCCCTCTTCCTACTCTCTCATCCTCCTACCCCCCAGCTTGTATTAGATCATCTTCTGCCTTCTTATTGAATCCAGTACACTGAATTCTTGCTTCTCCATTCTTGTGATGCTTTACTAAGAATGTGTTCCACCTCAAGCCAGGTTAATACGAAAGATGTAAAGTCTCCATCGTTTTTAGTGGCTGAATAGTATTCCATGGAATACATATACCACAGCTTATTAACCCATTCCTGGGTTGGTGGGCATTCAGGTTGCTTCCACATTTTGGTGATTGTAAATTGGTGATGCTCTTGGGTTTTACATCTCCTTTCCTCTTCTGGGTGTGGTTGACATTACTCTTTCCTCAGATGGCTGAAGCCATCTCTGTGTCTGTTCTCCCAAGGCTGGAGGTCACGCCGTTCGCACCTGCAGTGCCCGCCTGTCTGCCCTGAGCCTTCCAGGTACACAGGAAGGCCTATGGTGGCAGTTGGAGGTGGGCAGCAGGTTTCAGAGGAGAAGGTGGAAAGGTATGTTCTCCCAGAGTAATGAAAAAAAAAAAAAAAAAAAGATGAGAAGGGCAGGAAAGGCCTGGCCAGGCCGGAGAGAGGGAAGGCCACTCCTCTTCCCAGCTGCTGGCCCTCACACGGAGAAACCAGGTTGAGGGCAACTAGGCAGCTGTCAGGAGGGAAGCAGCAGTCTGGGCTGCAGGGCCAGTCCTCAGAGGCTCGGCGAGCTGCGGTGAGGTGTCCAAGGAAGGCAGGGGCTTTCCCTGGGGCAGTGGACCAGGCTCAGTGGACAGCCATGGTGCCAACAGCAAGGACTTCTGGAGAAGTGGGAAGACCACGTGCCTGTATAGGGAATGGATGCCTGGGGACAGCAGATAAGAACAGAGGAATGCCATTCTGGGAAGCCCCAAGAATCTGCCCCAAACACAGCTCGCCCTAGGAAAGCAGGCCAGGCCCCCAGCCCATTCACAACCCTCCATCTCTGCCCTTTTTCCAGATATTTCCACAGCTCCTTTCTGCCTCAGCCCCCCAGTCGCCAAACAATGTCTTTCCCTTCTTCTTTGCTCTGTCCCTTGGCCCCACTCTGGCATAGCTGGTTGGCTTGGAGCCAGGGGAGCCAAGGTAGATGTCTTAACAGAAGGATGAGAGGGCACACTGTGGGGGACTGAGGGGTGGAGTGGTCTGAGCTGGACCACCTGGGCGTGAATGTCAGCTCTACTGCTAAGCTTCTGAGGGATCTTGGGCATGGAACTCAGCCTCATCTTCTACATCTGTAAAATGGAGACAATAACAGGTCCCACCTCCTAAGCTGCTGAGAGCATGAGGTGAGAGTGTGAGCGAAGTCTTCTCATGGCAGCTGGCGCACAAGTAGTGCCCAGCAGGAACCGCCTTCCACTAAGTGGCCAGCCTCCTTAGTCAGTCCCTCACTTCCGCTTGTGTCTGGTCTAAACTGTTCTCCATGCTGTGTGTAGATTTTTGAAAATATAATGAACTCTGTCACTCTTCTGCTGAGAATCCCTCCGTGGCATCTCATCATCAGCAAAATGCAGCCTGGGCAGAGCCTGCCCCATCTCTCCCCTGTCTGAGTTTTGTGGTCACAGTGGTCTCCAAGTACTTTAAGCCTCTCCAAGTCATGTCCCAGCTGACACATCATTTCCTCAGAGAAGCCCTCCCTATCCATCCCCTTTCTTCTTTATAATAGTCCTCACTCTGTAATGACCTTGTTGATTTACTGTTCACGGCCCCACTAGAACGCAGCTCCTTGAAGCCATTCATCCAAGCACTCACCTGAATGAATGAAGGACACATTGTTACCCTTGGGGTTCAGGTGCTTTGGAAACTGGTTTGGTGGCCTGCCCAGCAAACCTGACCATCATGGCTCCAAGTTCCCAACCCTCTGTACGATAAGGCCTGGCCATCTGAACATAAACAAATATTGCACACCAAGCCCAGAGGTCCAAAGTAAACATTTTTATTCTCAGTTCTGCCTTAGGTATCTCTAGTTTTGCAAGCATAAATAAATGAATAATAATTCTCTCCTTAAATGTCTTTCATTAAAATTTGTTACTTAAAAATTTTCTGTTTTTCCTAAAGAGAATATGATTTGAGGGTGACCTAAAATGAGGTGTGAGGACTGCGGACACATCAGGGTTAATCACCACATTTCCTGCCAATTTACTGAGCAGGAAAAGGCCATGGGCAGCTATAAATAGCAGCCCAGCAGTCTGTCCTTCCAAGAGGGAAAGAATTCGCAACAGAGACGAGGGGTAAGGTGGGCAAAGAATCATTTGCCCAGTTTCTGCCACATCAGGGCTGGGATCCTGGGCGTGCTGAGGCCCAGCAGCGGAGGGTTAGCCCGCCGCCTCTACAACTCAGACTCGGTGCATCCAAACTCAGTGGGCCTGGAAGACCCTCCGCGTTTGCCCTTGAATGCTCTTGATCAGCAAACAGGGACTCAAAGAGTGGAAACAAATGTCCTCCAGAACGTCCCTCCTTTTTAAGGAGTTCCCAAAGGGAGACCCCAAACTTCCTTGGAAAGGGCATAGAGAGGAGGGGATCCTCCCCTGGAGCAGCCTTCCATTCGCCTTCCAGGCTTCACAGGACAGTCTCTCGGATGACCCCGATGAGGCTATGTGGCCGCTCAGCCTCTGCTCGCCGGGGCCTCCCCTCGGCCCGCGGCCTCCCTGCCGGGGTGAAGGTGCTCAGGTCCCCACAGCTCTGCAAGTGCAGCAGGCCAGGCCGTCTCCGCGAGGGCAGCACGTGGGCCCTGGAAGTGCTGGGCTGCGGCGGGGCCATGATCTTTGGAAGGATAAAGGGAGAAGGGGAGAAGTTAATCAGCTTCACCAGATGAGGCCCCTTCATCTGCCTCTTATGTCTGTCCACATATCTTCATGTGTGATTGCTTTGGAAAAATAAAAAGGCCATTTTCCCAAAGTGAAACCCATTTGGCATTCCAACGTGCTTTGAACACACTGCCTCTTTTCCGAAGTTCTTAAGAAATTCTCCAAATGATCCATTATTTCAATTGCAGGCCTGTAGACCATATTTAACTGACTTGTCAAATGAAATTTCTTACTTTATATTTTACATTCTTCTCTATTCACTTTTCTCTAATTTCCCTGAGGCCTATGCCAGTGATTCTCGTTGGAGTCTGAACATTACTGGGTGGGGGTGGGGGCTCAGGGATTTGTCAGAAACATGGATTCCCAGCTGCCCCCACGGCAGTTCTGACAGGTAGTCTGGAAAGGAGTATAAGCATCTGTGGGGTTTGTTGTTGTTGTTTTGGGTTTTTTTTGCAGTTTCTGGCTAGGGCTGGATTTGAACCTGCCACCTCCGACATATGGAGCCGGCACCCTACTTCTTTGAGCTATAGGCACTGCCCAGCATCTGTGTTTTTTTCCTAATAAAAATCCAAGTGAGACCAATGCATCTGAAAATCTGAGAACCACAGGTCTGGGACTGTGACCAGGTCATGAATCTATAAAATATCAACCAAAATCAATGACGAGTCTAATGGATCTGATAACCCTTCGACCAACAACATAGCCAGGCCAATTTATTTGTAAACACTGTTTAAGAAGGGTTCTGTTACTAGATCTATTTTGCAATGTGTTGTGTAACTGCAAACATGTAATTATATCACTAACTCTGAAAATAGCAACAATATGGGAAATTCCTCATCTAACTGAGATTGAAGAGGAGAGACCTGCAGACCTGGTCCGTATGACTATAATACTATTAGCACTTCGGAAAAACTCGGGAGCTGTATTATCACCTAATGTCCTAGAGGAATCATTTGGATGACTTTTTGTTTAGTTTGTACCATTCTGAGCTTTTAAGGTTATTAAAAGGTTATCCCCCAAAAGATAGGATATTAAATTTCATTAAGGCCTGGTCTTGTCCCTTGACTAAGAAGAAAATTTCAATATTCACAGAAGTTGACTGTGTTACATGGTAAATTAGGACACGTGGTTTTGATATTGATGAAGATACAAATGGATTTAAAAATTCATTCCAGTGATTACTGAAGAGAGTGAAAATGTACAAAGCTGGGTAAGTCAGCTTTTCGGCTGTTCTTGCTTCCTTCTGTCCCTAGGAAGGGGTGTAACATTAAGAAACTTCACCCCTGGGGTCCTATCCTGGAAGGCCCCAGTAGATGGCCCACAATTTATCACAATACCTAAGAACCTGAACTCTTTGGGATTTTTTTAGTTTTTTTGTTTTGTTTTGTTTTGTGTTTTTGAGACACAGTCTCACTTTGTCACCCTTGGTAGAGTGCTGTGGCATCATAGCTCACAGCAACCTCAAACTTTTGGGCTCAAGCAATCCTTTTGCTCAGCTTCCCAAGTAGCTGAGACTGCAGGCGCCCACGACAACACTCGGCTATTTTAGTAGAGACAGGGCGTCACTCTTGCTCAGGCTGGTCTCCAACTCCCAAGCTCAAGCAATCCACCCACCTGGGCCTCCCAGAATGCTAGGATTATAGGCATGAGACACTGCGCCAGGTAGAACCTGAACTCTTAATAGCTCTGGGGCACAAGGATCTAGCAAACATTTGTAATGATTACATCTGTTGAACTGTAAGTACTTGTTCTTTTTCCCTGGAGCTATTTCCCAGGGATCAGGACTTTGCGAGAAGGTCTAAACCAACTTCCGGGTCAATGTTCCAGCTCTTTCCTCATCTTAGCACGGAAGCCTGTATGTGAGAAATGGCTCCTGATTATCGGGCGACGGGCTGGACAGAGAGAAGATAGTAGGGAATGGGAGGTGAGAGCCAGCAGGGTGTGGAGAACACTGCCCCTACACAGGCTAGAAACTGGGACCACTGGCTGACCACTCTTTCAATGAACAAATCACAAGAAGGTCTAATGGTTCACGAATCCCTTCATACAAGTACTCGGATCACTCTTCTCTCCCGAGAGACTGAGAGAGAATCTGGCTTATGTACGAGAGGCCCACAGGTAGTAAAGGGGAACAGAAAGCAAAGTGAGAAGTGCATGTTTTCAAGCTGATCTGAAAATTTACCTAGGATCCTGGAGCCAGTAATTATCCTGAGACTCAGCCCAATTCAGTTTACGAAGTATGTGTTGGCCATTTAATGCCACAGGCACAGAGCCATGTAATACCCATGGGCCATTGTGCAGTGATATCTACAACACCTGTCCCACAGAGCAACACCATAAACACCAAAAAGGTAGTGACTTTTAAAAGAGGTGGAAAGAAGATTCTCACCAAAAGAAAATTCCATTTATTCAGAGATAAAGGCACAGAGGCTGCCTTAGTCCCACCCTCCTCCTTAAAGACGAGGAACCTGATCCCCACAGGATTATGCCCTTCACCAGTTTTATCTTTGTCCTGGGAAGCTTTGGTTTGTTTTGTACTTTATAATTTATGAACAGAAAAGGTATTTATTCAAGTCCTATTGGCTTATTTATCTTGCCAAACATTTCATGGGAATGTAAACAGCTCCCAAAATCTTGTCAATATTAAAACTCAACTATCTCATCATTTTCAAAGGGCTGAGAAAACGTACCCTGTCAAGTGAAAACTTCAATGTAGGAAATCAAATGGCCAATGGGCTCCACACTGCCCACACCCTTCACTTTTTTTTTTTGCAGTTTTTGGCAGGGGCTGGACTTGAACCTGCCACCTTTGGCATATGGGGCCGGGGCCCTACTCCTTTGAGCCACAGGCGCTGCCCCCCCCCTTTTATTCCCTGCCTGCTCCCTTTTCTTTTCCAGGCCTTCCTCCACATCCCAGAAAACTGGGTTCTCGAGCCACAAACACCGTGGAAAAGTTCCCTGAAAGGAAGGCTCTCCCTCTCCCCTGACCTCCTAACCCCATTTCCACCGAGACTGTGAACACAAACTTACTCCGCCTCAGACAGGAAACCAGAGAAGCCACTGAAGCTTCTATGGAAACAAGTTACCTGATTCACGCCCACTGTTAATAATACAACTACCTGTTCTAGGAAACTGGCACTTGTGATGGCTTCCTCCATGTGCTCCTCGTCAGACTTCAGAACAGATTTAATGTTTTCTACAAGTTCGTGGATGTCTGGGGTCATACTGCAGGAGGACTGCTCCAGGAACCTCGCCACCAGCAGCTTGGTGTCTATGTAAGATTTGTAATCTACTAGCGACCGGGGTCGGCATCGTGAAGCTCTTGATCTCAAGCCTCTCCTCAGTGTCACCGCAGCCAGATCCAGTCTCCGTTCAGTCTGAGTCGCGGCTTCACAGCTGAGCACGGGGGCGGCTGTGGGCAGAGGAAAACCACATGTACCCATTGGCCAAGCTCCTCCAAACACACACCTGTCCCTGAAAGTTGGCATGGGAAACGTCTGACAAAGGTGACAGCCATGCACGCCTTGCTCCTCACCTTGCAGAAGGAAAGGGGGAAAATCACAACTATGATACAGCTTATTCCCCAAAGTGCAGTTCCAAGAGATGGCCCGAACCTTTCATTATGCCACATAAAACAACCCCCAAGGTCAAGACACATGATCGTGAACAGACTCCAGAATGCAAACCAAAACGGAGCAAGTTCCACAGGGGTGGCAAACGGATGGGGATGGACAGGCAGAGCAGAACACACACGGCTGACCAGTGAAGGATGTGCCGGGGGGAGGATGGAGGAGCCACTTAGAGAGGAAGAGGCTGATGAGAGACAGGACTTGAGGGGTGCACATGACGCTCTGTTCACTTTGTACCTTTGTCTCCCAAATATCCTCAGGGCATTGTACTGACTTATATTACCGATGCTCACACCACGGCTATGAGGTAGATCTATGGCTGACTATTACAGAAAGAGAAATTCAGAAGCAGAGAAATCACACATCATTCTGGACACTGACAGAGGGCCTGGGAAATTCCACAGCCTCCTACATCAGCAGGGATAGAGAGACCAGCAGAATGCCACTGTGCTGTGAAGTGGGGGCAGGGAGACCCAGGTCTGGCCTCCGTGTGTCCCTAAGCCAGCCAGCCGGCAGCCCTCAGTGTCCACGACACTGAAGCAGTCAGTCTGTGAAGGCTGGATAAGCAGAGATTTAGATGTCCAAGGAAGACAGGCAGCAGGGGCGGGAGGACAGGTGGAGGAAGGGGAGCACTCCGTTTCCTCTGGAGAAAGGCAGGTGTAGGGAGCTCTAAACCAGGGGGTTAGAGGCTGTCCTCCCAGGCTTTCATGTGCATGTCACAGAGAACAAGAGCCTTCCGAAATACTCGCTGAAGACACTCGTATGTGAGGACAGACTCAGGGTCTGCACTCGTCCACTTCAAGGCAACCTGATACCTTCTACAAGGAAGGGCTCCACCAGATAAACACAAGTCCTTGCCCCCACAGGGCTGCAGAATGAGAAAGGGTTCTAGAAGGATTTCCTAACTTGTGTGACAGCTAAACTGCCACTGAGGCCGGAGTCCTCAGCTTGCCGGGTAGGGTGCCGGAGACCCTCAGGGTCTTGGGACTCAAGAGACCAGGCTGCCTGGCCACTGGGGTTGTGGAGACACACGCAGTCCCAGGTAACAGGGCTTCCTCCCCAGAGGCCACTGCAGAGACAGGAGGAGCATTCTCTCTGGCTTACACACGGTCAGTCCAGAGCCGTGGCAAATAGCACTGTGCTGTGAAAGGGACAGAACGGAGGCTCAAGACAGGACCCAAGGAACAGCAGGGTGGAAGGACTGTCAAAGTCTTATTTGCATAGAGTTTTAGAAGAGCAGAGGCCAACTCTTAGACTAGTCCACAAAAAGAAGCCTGTGCTGGTAGAATTACAGGTGGTTTTCATTTTCTTCCTTTACTTCCATTACTTTTTACAATTCTCTACAATAAAGAGATATTTGGATATGTTCAGGCATTCATATATTGAAAAGAAAGACACAATGTTATTTTAAAATGTTTAAATTTTGAGTTACTCAAATAACATCTAAAAACCTCATCGCAAAGAGGGAGAGAGATGAAGTACGTGTTTACGCTAGCTACAGGTTTTCAAACAAGGTCAGATTTCAATAAGTCAATCTACAGACCCAGTAAAAAGATAATAAAATATCAAATTATAAAAGAGGGGGTTAAAAAACACACCCCTTTGATTTTTCCTTTAAGGAGAATGTATGTTCCCCCAGGACTGCCGCATCCAGAAATCAGAACTAGGTGTATGTAATTGTCTTCATGTAGCACCCAGCACAGTATCATGTAAACCAAATGCTGTGGATAACAGTGACTTAAAATAAAACCTACCATCCTTAAAAACTGTAGTAGGTCAAAACAGATTCTTTTTAGTAAAGTATTACCAGAATGGAAAAGCAAGCATCCACTGTACTCAATACTAATATGAAGCCAGTGGATGATCAAATACACACCCACACGGGAGAGAAACTCAGTTCAATTCAGTTTGGGGGAGAGGGGAGGAGGAAGGGGGAGTGGTGGGCTCCCACCTAATGGGCACCAAGTGAGGGTATGTGGTGGGACACAACTACAACAGGGACTTTACCTAACAAATGCAAACATCGCAACCTAAGCATTTGTCCTCTCATATTAATCTGAAATAAATAAATAGTAATAATAAAAAGATGTGGTAGGTGTATATTCCAATGTGCACGTAGGATATTTTGCTTTCCCAAGACCTCTTCACCTCCTTCAAGTTACCACTTCTAGTGCACAGCCTTGGGCTGGCCAGAGGCACCTGCTTCCCCCCCCCCACCCCCCGACACCTTTAAACAATGAAGCACAGTGCTCTGCGAAGAGCTTGGGGAGTAACATCACCTCTCTCCTCGGAATGATGGAGCACAGGGTCGCTCTTTGACCTCGTCCTCAGGGCTGGGAGGGCTCTCCGGCTTCTCACAGGATGCACCAGGGTAGAGCTGGGCGTTGAAATCGATGTGCTTTCTTCTCCAGGTGTGTTAGGAAGGTCCCCACCTGATTTTTTTTTTTTTTTAAAAAGAGAAGAAACATAAATTATTTCACCAGCTGCAGTCTTCAAAATGTTGGGCAGGAAACACCTGTGAGCCCAAACCTGCCAGGACAAGGGTAATAAAGTCAATAACATTTATTTAGGCTGCTGGCCCAGTAAGGTTTAATTTCCCAGCACTGTGGGAAGACTTGCCTCTCCAAACCACCCCTCCACACCTCAAATAAACAAACAAATTAAATGCTAGAGAAAAATAAAGAAACCATGCCAAAATGTCCATTTTTTTCCTAAAGGGGCTTAGAATCTTCTCCACTGAGGCATCTTGGTGCAGCACTGAAAAACTCCCAAGAATTTCATACTTTCTGACAATTCAGGCTGAGCTTGGCTCTGTGGAAGGTAATACAGTAAACTCCCCATTATCCACAACTCAAGCAACCAGCACGCAACCTGGCCCCGCCAAAAAAGAAACCAAAAAATCAGAGTTTAAACTTGGTGGGCCTACCCCCTGCTGTCAGCAAGCCCACACTCTGAGCAGCACGCCCACAGCACCCATGTGTTCTCTGTTAACAGCTGTGTTAATGTGTGTTACTTGAAGTTAAAAAAATATGGTAGTGAAACTGAAAGTGTATGGACTGCCATTTAACTAAAATTGTACACAGCATTTACAAAGCTGTTTTATAATACAGTAAAACTGTTACAGGAGGTGATGTTTGTCTTTATTTGTCTGAAGTTGCTTTTAATTAATGTATTTCAATATTAAAATCAAGTCAATACAGAGGGTATGGTAATGGTATGCTACGCTATGCTACACTATGCTACGCTATGCTACGCTATGCTATGCTATGCTATGCTATTTCAGTTTGCTATGATATGCTATGCTATGATATAGGATGGGGTATCGGATTAATTAAGCCAATTTTAAGAGTAACTCTCAAGCAACCAGAAATTACATTTATCTGAAATCTGGCAATCCCCATGAGTTCTGGAGAACAGGGAGATTACTGTGCCTGCACAGGTAAGGCGGCCACTCTGTGGACTGCAGGCCAAATGCAGGCTGGGACTCATCTGCATAACCCAGAGTGCGTGTGCCAGGCTGTGAGACTCCCAGACAGCTGAGTGAGAGAGGCACTAAATGGATCAGTAAAATCACTCTGCAATTGAATGATATCTGCTCAGGAAAATAAAATCATCATTTGTGAACCTGAGTGGTGGCTTGAGAAGCTGTTTTTAAAAATGGAAAAATTACCAACATATTTAGGAGAATAGGGCACTGCTTCATAATTCTACTTAAGATGGCACAGGAGCGGAAGAACAGAAAGCCATTCCAAATGGTACTGATGAAAAATTACCTCCATCTAAAATTGCGAATTGATCCATTATTTATCACCATGTGTGATTCTGTCCTGGTGGACAATTCTCTGAGCCACTTAAGGCTTTCCCAAGGAGAGAAGACCATAACCGCATTCTCTTAAATTGCAAGGATAAAGGTAAACTGACTCTAGTAGATAACACAGGACTGAAAATCAGAATTCACCAGACGCTCAGGCAGCAGGCCTGGGCCCGAGGGTGTGAATGACACAGCACAAACTCACAGCAAACTATCCTGCCATAAGGAAACTACGTCCTTTACTCTGCAAAAGAGTCCATCCAATTTTAATAGGAGAATGAAAATCGTAGCTCAGAAAACACAGGAATGCCAAATTAAACTCTGTAATCTGTTTCATGGGTTCCTGAGAATAGCCTTATTATTCATAAAAGATCATAGGAATATCTTTTTTTCTGTTCATATATTATCTCCCAGTGATAATCTCCAATAAATGATAGTATTTTTGCACCTGAAAAAGAGGATGTGGCTTTAACAGTGTGTCCCAGGAATATCTTCTCTCCAACCAAATACCAGCTAGATCATTACCCTACCAGGTTTTTATCAACTGAATCATGACTTTGGGCAGCAATGCCATATCTATTACCACAAGTCCCTTGTGTGCAGACTGGTTCCAGCAGGCTCTCCGCAGCTTCTGATCCTTCTGGCATTTGGAATGAAGATCCCTGCATGACAGGGAAAAAAAAGAGGGTGATTTTGTTGATATTTAACTCAACCCTCATCAGACCCCAGAAAACTCCATAAAAAAGATAGGTAGGACACAGTCTCCCGGCTGGTCTCTGGGAGGTGCGAGACTGTGGGCAGTACCTGCTCCTGGTCCATCTGGCTCACCACAGCTTCGTACGGAGGTGGGGGGTCCAGAGGACAGAACACTTCCACGCCTTTGATCCGAGCTCCATAGATGTGCGGCAGTGGAATAACATCAGGACCAACCATCCTAGGAAAGGCATTTTGGCGTCAGGGAGCTCGTTCTATGGACCGGCCAGCTGTCTATAGCAGCTCCTGGATACTAGCCTTCGCTAGACTGTGAGGAAAACCACTCAGCCTCCATACCACATCCTCTCAGGCCAGGAGAGGGAGAATTATACAAGCTGCTTTCTGACAGAGGGCTCGGAGTTCCTTAGGCAAGCGACAGCGTGTAAAAGGCAACCCTACCATTCCTTTTCAAACCATCTGTCAGAAAGCAAATAATAATCCATACAGACAGAGAGTAGATTAGTGATTGCCAGGGCCTGTGGGGAGAAGAGGACAGGGAGTGACAGTTTTAAAAGTATAGGGTTCCTTGGGGGGTGAAGAAAGTGTTCTGGAACTAGATAAAGGTGATGGTTCAACACCACTGAACTGTACACTTTAAAAGGGCTAATTTCATGTTATATGAATTTCATCTCAATTTAAAAAACAGCAACGAAGGGCTAGAAAACTCAATTATTTCTTACATTAGTAAATGGCAAACGTTTCTTGCCTAGGTTTCCCTAATATCTGACTCATGATAGAAACTCATTACAGGCTGAACATTCCTAATCTGAAAAAATCAAAATCGAAAGTGCTCCAAAATAGTCCCAAACTTCTGAATGCCAATATCAGGTCAAAGTGTAAATCTCACACTGGATGTTAAGCTGACAGATTGCAGTCAGAATGCAGTCGAAACTTGGCTTCATCTGCTTTTCATACTGAAAATAATATGTAAAATTACCTGCAGGCTATGTGCATAAGATGTACATAAAATATCAATGAAGTTCTTATTTAGCCTTGGGTCCCATCTCCAAAATAGCTCATTAAGCCTAAGAAAATATTCTGAATTCTGAAAAAAAAAAAATCTGAAATCTAAAACACTTCTGGGTCCAAGCATTACAGATAATGGATACTCAACCTATATTTGTGAAGAGAATATTTGAGAGGATGGATTAATTTAAAACAAATGTGAACAATATCATAGCTCAGAGACACAGCACCAAGCAGGAGGAGAGATTTCTAAAGCCGGCCATTGCACAAACACCTTAATTACACCTGCTACCTTAATTACAATGGTGGCTGCTGGTGTCAACTTAATTTCTCTTCTGAATTTCTTTCCTTTGCCGACTCCTGCTGCCTCAAACTATTTCTACACTGTTCTTTCTCAGTCTCCTCTTTTTACTTTTCACCTCCCCCTCCTTTAACTGGGGATAGTGTAGGACTGAAAAATTCTTTTGTTATTAAATATTTACATTGGCTATATTTACCAATGAAAAGTGTTGTAACCCCCATATCCTTCCTAAATTGTGGATTTTCTTTCCCAAATGCCTTCCCCCCCACCCAAATGAAGTGACCTGTGTTTTCCTTTTAAGTGTTTCTTAGATAACTGGTTTGTTTGTTTTGTTTTGTTTTGCTTTATAGGTAAGGCACCCTCAATAGCAAAATAAAAAATGAAAACAAAATCCTCCAAAAGATTCCCATCCGACGTCCATAGAAAATTTTACAAAAGGGAATCTAGACAATGAAGAAACTAAATTTTAAAATAATTATAAAACATTCTTCTCAGTGAAGCATTGCAAGATTGGAAAAATGAACACCACTTAATACTAAATTGGAGCTAACTGATCAACACCCCTGTGCTAATTTGGTACTAAAACTCAATGGAAGCAGCAGGTGGGAGGGGGAGAAGGGTTAATCCACCCCTAATACATACAACGCACACCACCTGGGTGAGGGGCACACTTATAACTTTGAAACTGTACAAAAGCAATTCATGTAACCAAAACGTTTTTACCTCCATAATATTCTTAAATAAATAAATATCTGTTTTCTTGCCAAGACACGGAAACAACCCAAGTGCCCATCTACCCATGAATGGACTGTGGTATATGTATACTATGAAGTACTATTTAACCATAGAAAAGATGGAAACTTTACATCTTTTGTGTTTACCTGGATGGAGTTGAAACACATTCTTCATTTTTTTTTTTGCCATTCTTGAGTAAAGTATCTCAAGAATGGAAAAAAATATCCAATGCACTCAAAACTAATATACCCCCATGCAAAAGAAAAAACATAAATATAGTCTACCAAGGGGGAGGAGGGAGGATGACTGGCAGGATCTCCCCTAAGGTACACAATGTGAGGGTATTCAGCAGCCCCCTGGGTGAAGGGCTCAACTACAACTTGAACTTGACCTTAGAATTGAAAACGATGCAACCTAAACATCTCATATTAATTTGTAATTTAAAAGAACTGCCTAAATAGAGAAAAAAATGGAGTATTAGTGCTATATATTTTGTTTTCTGAGTTTATATTTTCTTGAAGTATATCTAATGCTGACATTAAATAAATAAAATAAATACTTGTTTCCAACTTCTTTTTTTTTTTTTTGCAGTTTTTGGCCAGGGGTGGGTTTGAACCCGCCACTTCCCACATAGAGGGTCGGTGCCCTACTCCTTTGAGCCACAGGCACCACCCCAACTTCTTTTTTTACCTCATTTGAGTGAATGATTCATGGAGGCAAACAGGTCTGCTAGATACTGCCAGGTCAGTTTGGGGTCCCCCCCACCCTATCTCTGAGGACTCTCAGCCCCAGCTACAGAGTAGAATCACGTTGGGATGCTCTAAAACCATGGATGGTCCAGATCTCACCACTAGAAATTCTGCTCTAAGTGCCTGTGGTGGGGCCCAGAGATCTGTTTCCAGTGTTCCTGGGGGATTCTAACACATTGCTGCTAAAGGAAATGGCTCCTGGTGTCTGAAATTAAAACCCTACCGTCCAAAAAATAAAAATAAAAAATAAAAAAGGGCAGCCCTTGTGGCTCAAAGGAATAGGGCGCCCACCCCATATGCCAGAGGTGGTGGGTTCAAACCCAGTCCTGGCCAAAAACTGAAAAAAAAAAAAAAAAAAAAAAAACCCTACCGTTTTACACAAGAACCATACGTCCTTGTGTAAGTTGATCAAATTTTTATTAAGAATGAGGGTCTTTAGAAAACTGCTGCCTGAAAGGGTAGGGATTAAGAGCTAAGTGTTTCTTAAGAGCAGGACACATACCAAGAACGTTTTAAACTACAACTAACAATGGGAAAGCATAGTCTAAGCTTTATTTTTAGAAAGCTTCTTTTGTCCACAATCTCATAACAATCCTCCCAGCAGCCATGTGACAACAAAGATGAATGAAGAAACTGAGGCCCAGAAATGGTAAGAGACCCATCCAGGGCCACCCTTGGCAGAGATTCCAGAGCCTGGGCTTTTTCAGGTTCAGCCCAGACTCTCCAGGAAACTTTCACTGGTGCATGTTCATGAGTGCTGAAGATGAGGGGAAATCCAAACAGCTCATGAAAAATGTATTATGCTTTAAAGCTACAAATAGGCCTTAAAAACTCACCCCAGGGTAATGCTGCAACAAACATCCCTCTGACCAAAAGCCGATCCTCCTCTGTCTACTGGACCACTGTCTCCTGTTAAGGGGCATGGGGTTGCAGCCATGGAGGAGGGAGAGGGGCACCTCCCCTCAACCTTGATAGCAGAGCACTGACTCAACCCCACATCCCACCCAATTTAGGTTTGAAGTTCTCTAGGAAAGAGAAGTGTCCTCCACTTGAAAAATGCCCGTATCAACCTGGCTCCCACCCTGTCAGTCTTCAGTTTTTCCTAACAGGCAATATCCCAGAGTAAAAAGCTGATCAATGCTCGTGAAATAGCTTGGAGACTGTCTGTCTTGATCTCTGGTTCAAAGCAATTTCTGAGAATGGGGAACACCCTGACTTAGTGGAGATGGGGTGCACAGTCCCTTCTTATGCTTACAAAGCAATTCACTAAGTAGCTAGCCCATTTTTGGACAGAAGCCTTGACTGCAATCGGGCTTGCAGTAACACAGTAACTTGAGAAGCATTTTCTCAAGGCGATACCAGCCCATGAAGTGGTTGTATTTATAGAAGTTAAATAAATAAACCTTTTCCAAGAGGTCATACTATTTTACAGGAAATAGGGAGACTCTATTGTGTGAAAACAACATAACTGGTTGTGGAACTATGCATATTAAGAAAACACTCATGATTCTTTTTCTTTTTTTTTTTTTGAGACAGAGTCTCACTATGTTGCCCTCGGTGGAGTGCCGTGATGTCATAGCTCACAGCAACCTCAAACTCTTGTGTTTAAGCGATTCTCCTGCCTCAGCCTCCCATATAGCTGGGACTACAGGTGCCTGCCACGATGCCTGGCTACTTTTTGTTGCAGTTGTCATTGTTGTTTAGTTGGTTCGGGCTGGGTTTGAACCTGCCAGCCTCGGTGTATGTGGCTGGTGCCATAACCATTGTGCTATGGGCGCCGAGCCTTATGAATATTCTTGCCTTATAAGAAAGAAAATTACTAAATGGGGTTAAGCAACTAGTATCTATAAAATTGATCTATACATGAAGATACACATATTAAAGTCAGCCAAACTTTAAAATATCTTTGACAGAATGTGTATCTAAATGGGAATAAATTTAGCCGTTTTAAAAAGGAAAGTGGACGACACTCTGATATTTGTGGAATTTCAGAAAGTGAAGGTGCCCAGTGGCGATGTGTTCTAGGGCTCTGGGCACCTATTTTAGACACGGCAGTACCTGTTCTCTCCCAAAGGTATTTTGCTTTAACCTTCTACTTCCACCTTCCTCCTGGAATGTTCTGCAGGTACCAAGCCCCGATAAGAAGCTTGTCCTCTTCTTCCAACCTAGCTTTGGCCAGGGGCTGTCTCAGGACTCAGAGGGACCAATCCAGGGAAGCACCCAGGTCCTCAGAGAGCAGAATTACCCACACTATAAAGCACTTTTATGGTGCAGCAGAGAAGAGGCAGGAGAGAGAGGAGAAAGGAAGGTCAGGGAGTCCACAGGACCGGGAGCTGGACAGCACGACTCCCAAACCACATGAGTCACTTTCCCTTTCTGCCACTGCAGGAAATTAAATCTGTCTGTCGCCTCCTCTTAGGTCAACCAAGCGCTCATCCACAACCCCAGAGAGCCAAGGGATTCTTTCTTCAGAGAAGGCATTTCTCTTCCCAGTCACAAAATAACAGTCGTTTTTACCCTCCTCCCATGTACCTTTACAGACAGCCAGAGACTAGACTAAGGTTTTAGCAAATGCGTCCTACGGTACACCAAAAATACGTGTTTTGTTGCTATGTCTCTTCAGCCCCTGTAGTTCTTGGCTCATTTCCTAAAAGGCCAGGGAAGCCATCCCGGCCCATGAAGCATCGAAATTCTAGTAGGCCGCTCCCTGAACAACAGAGAGGCTGAGCTGCCCCACAGGCCTACTCTGCACCATCTGCCCACCCTGCTGACATCCCCTCTGGCCTTGTGGTCCTCTCTGCCTCTGCCCGGGCAGGTGAGCAGTCGGAGAGCCTGTGGGTGGGGTTCAAGTATATCTCTGAGGGACAAGTCAGGAAGGCAACCAATGCAAAGGCCGCCAATAGCAGCTGGGTGGTAGCTGGTCCAGGTGCCCTATTTCAAAGTCACATATGGTTGCCACGAACATCAGAAAATGGTTTCCCCAAATCCCCAAGCCTAACATCAAATTTATTTGACAAGTCTCTACATGTAGTATAGCAATGAAAATTAGAAATTTCTGGCCCTCTGAATTAGCAGGCTAAAGACATTAATCTTTCTATGGAATTCCAAGACTTTCTTTGAAAATTAAATATAGGTTTCCTTACCCTTTAAACTCAGCTTAAAGTTGCTTCTTCCAGGAAACCATCCTTGACTGGCTGACTCGCCTCACTAATCTGGACTAGGTGGACTTTGCGCACCCAAAGTCTCTCTTTTCAATAACTATTGTGATCCTTCCAACATTCACTTTTATGATCTGTGAGTTCCTTAATTGTAGTCATTTTGAATTTCAATAACCCAGCACAGCAACTTGCAAGCAGAGGAAGACTGATTTTGTGTTTGTTCAGTAAATGAATAAAGTCCTTCTTTAGAAAGGTTCAATTCTAGAAGTCGCATTTCATTCCACAAATAATAATTCTTAAGATTAAAGAAAGTCAAAATTTTGAGCTAGCGTTTATAAAGGAAAATAACCATGGTAGCTATTTTATCTAGACCGGGGAGATACAATTAATAATTAATGTCTTTTTAATGGGAGGGAAGAAGTTTGATTGTCGAGACCTGCTGATGGTGTTATAATGAAACATTGATTTGGCCTAACCGGGAGTGTTTCCAGGGCAACAGTGACTCTCAATCATGTCAAATTACAGCCGTTATCTCCCTCAGTGTCAATTTTCCTTAGAAAGCTAATTAAAATCGAAAACTTATATCTTTAGGTCAAAGTGTGACTTTTCTTGGACTCATCTGGTTTATCAAACGAAATGCAGGAGAGAGAGAGAGAGAGACAGAGAGAAAAGAACACTCTGAAAAACAGCACAAACTGTCTAAATAACAAAGAAAAGTCACAGTCCATGTGGTGAGTTCTGGAGACCTCTCAGTCTTCAAAACCCAGAACATCCCCGCAAGACTGCAGGGGAGTGTAAGAACGATACCTGCGGTTCATCCGGGGCGTGCAAGAGTAAAAGGTGGCAAAATAGGACGGGGGAGGCACAGGAGGCACAAAGTCATCCGGGTCTGGGATGTGGCCATGTTCTTCCACTTCTTCAGTAGAAATCTGGGATTCATCCTGATGAAATAGCACCCGATTAGGCAACAACTCTCATTACAAAGGCCCAAGGAGGAAAGCAATGGATTACACAAAAGGGTCAGCAGGCTGGCCCAGCCAACACAGTTCAGTGCCACCTCCCACTGACTCACCACGCAGGATCTTCTGGTTGCGAATATCTGGAGGTAGCGGAGGGCGGCAGCCACCAAGCAGACAGTAGTGGTCAGGGCATTCAAGGCACACAGGGCGAAGAGGACTTTCTGGAACAAGGGAACAATGACACCACTAAGTACTCCAATGTGGATGACCCCAGTGCAATGTTAAAAAAAAGTTAACAAAAAATAATAATACTGGGTGGTGCCTGTGGCTCAAAGGAGTAGGGCGCTGGCCCCATATGCTGGAGGTGGCGGGTTCAAACCCAGCCCCAACCAAATAATAATAATGATAATAATAATAATAATAATAATAAAACTGTCCCAATTCTCAGGAGAAAAGGCATGTAAAGGTGTAGGCGGTGTCTGGTTCGTGGAAAGTGCTGAAATAAGTGCTGGCTTCTTATCCCAGAAAGACCTGGTATTACAGTATACCTTTTTGCAAGAACATTTATCCAGAAATGTTCCTTCCAAGAGAGTAATGCATTTCTCTTTTGAAACTGGTGTCCCCAGGGATAGCAATTTCCAGCCTCCCACCAGGACACATGGTGCTTAATCTGTGGCCACCAATTCTATTTCTGGAGCCATTGGCCATGCTGCCCTACCACCCAACTAGGACGCTGCAGAGGCCGGGCTAGCCAGAGTGTAAATAGGACCTCTTTCCTCTAAACACACATCTCAAAATAGCAGCAGACTATTCCAAGAGTTTCTGTTGCTACAGTCCTGGCTCCTTAACGGGGCTTTCCCCAAACTAAGTCCTGGCTCAAAAACTTTGGGGGTGACTCAGCTACCAAAAATGCAGAAGCCAGAGGAGCAGGCCGCTGCCGTATCCCTCATGACCCAGAGCTGCCAGCTTTGAACAGTCCTCTTTCTTTGCTTAGAGATTCCTCCTCCCCACTGAAAATAAACCCAAGACAAGATCTAAAGAAAGCTGGCAGTAATGGAATCTCCAAAAGCCAATACCTCGGGGTTCACCAGCTGATTTTGTCACTCACTGGGCTAATGTTCCTTAAGTCAGGGCACAATTTACATCCAATTCCCTGACAAAGGTTGATTGTGTATTTCTCTTCCACTGGAATTATCTGTTTGTTTTTAAAATTTCTTTGGCATATTATAGTTGTTGTTTATTAAACAGGAGATAAAGTGCTTGAACTTCCCCTATATTTACTGGCCAGTATCTCTCCCTAGTCAATGTCCCAGCCTACAAGACTCACTTAAACCAACAAAGTTGAGGATCAGAACAGTGACAAGCAAGCAATTTAAAGATTTTACTAACAGCCACGTCATACGCATGTGTGTATGTACATATGTGTACGTGTGCATGTGGGTGCATACTCATATAAAGGGAGTCAGGCTGCTTTCGATTTTTTACTATCTTATGGTTCTTGAACACAAAGAAAACTGTCCATACATAATTTATCACACACCATAATCTGTGGTTCTTTCTGCACTCAGTTCTGCCTCTGGGTCACTAATGAGGGGTCACTCATATCTGCTTTCAGCAGCTTCACTATTTAAGGAGGTAACAGATAGGAATATTTCACATAATTTTTGCCTTCTCTGAGGATTCCATGGTGGATTTAACAGGAGGGGTGGGAATCTCTTCAAGGTACCTTAAGTAAAAGATGAACAGCACTACAAGGCTGAACTGGAAAGAGTTTCAAGGCATTTTCTTTGTCTGTACATTTGGCTGGCTGAAATTCTTCACAACAGAAGCAAATCTTGCCTTCACCTAAGTCCACCTTAAGGAGAAAAGGTAGAACAATAATGCGATTATTAAAAATACCTTCGCTACAGCACAGACAGGGCACCAGCCCTACAGAATGAGATGTGGCAGGGTTCCATGTCAGGCAATGCCTCTATCAGTGAAGATGAGCTAGAGCAGTGGTTCTCAACCTGTGGGTCGCGACCCACAGGAATTGTATTAAAGGGCCATGGCATTAAGAAGGTTGAGAACCACTGGATTTGGGCATGCTGTGGCAACAACCCAAATCAAAACTTGTGTAACTTACCCAACAAAGGTTATTTCTTAAACATGTGATATGTCAGGACAGCAGGGACTCTACATATCACACTCCTTAGGGACCCAGATAGATGGACCCTCCACCAGCTCCACCAGCTCAATACCACGGCATGATCACCATGCCAGAGAGATGGAGAGCACCGAAAGTATGGTTGCCGGATAAAATACAGGAAGCCAAATTAAATTTGAATTCAGATGAGCAACAGATATATTTTTTAGTATAAGTATGCCCCAAGTATTTTAAGAAGCATGTTTATATTAGAAAATTATTAGCTATTTATCTGAAAGCCAAATTTAACTGGGAGTCCTATAATTTTACTTGTTAAATCTGGCAACTCTAGTGAGAAGCTTTCTCGCAAATGACACTTATCACCTTTAACTCACAATGTCATTTCCAAAGCAAATCACACGGACGCAGCTAACTCCAAGAAGGCAGGGAAGTCCAACCCACCACGCCCGTAAGCACATGGTATATCCCATGAGCCCTCACCCTAGACCCTGTAGGCTTGAATGAACCTCTCAGTTCACATTTCCAGTGCAGTCATAGATTCTTGTTGTTTTGTTTGAGGTGAAAACATTATTGAAGAGTAACTTTGTATATTTTTAGTGAGATGCTTTGCAGATGTTTAGTCACTTTCCCAAATTTCCCTTGAATCGGGTTGTGAATATACATAACACCTGATTTGGGGTAACAAGACCTCTAATTTTAGGGCAGAGTTTCAGTCTTACCTGTATGTTATTTGAGCTATCAAAGTTGGCTACTCTATTTTGACTAAAAGGAAAGCTAGACCTCTTCTATTAACTGTTGAATTCATTAGATGGCTTTGACTTCGTCAGCTGCTAAATTCTTTAGGAATCTTTAAGAATGACTGAACATCTGCAGTGTTTTAGTTGCTAAAAGAGAAGGATAAAAAGACTTCTTTCTTATTTAAGATTTTTAACCTCTAGTTATAATAATAAATTTCATAGTTTTTTTTTTCTAAATTAGGAGAAAACTTGGTTCCTCCTAACTGTGGTCCCTAACTCCCAATCTGTGAGCTATTACTGGGCCATACAGTAGGCGGTGAGCAGCAGGCAAACAAGCAAAGCTTCTCCTGTATTTATAGCTGCTCCTCATCGCTGGCATCACTGCTGAACCCCTCCACCTGTCAGATCAGCAGTGGCGTTAGATTCTTAGAGGAGCGTGAACCCCACTGTAAGCTGCGCACAGGAGGGATCCAGGCTGCTGCTCCTTATGAGAATCTAATGCCCGATGATCTGAGGTGGAACTGAGGTGGTGATGCCAGTGCTGGGGCCATCTAGTTGCAGGAAAACAAACTCAGGGCACCCCTACCCCGACTCTGCATCACGGTGAATTTTATCATCCTTTCATTATATATCACGATGTAATAATAACAGAAATAAAATGCACGATAAACGTAAGGCTCTTGAATCATCCTGCCACCATCTGCCTCCACTCCGATCTGTGGAAAAATTCTCTTCCGTGAAATTGGCCCCTAGTACCAAAAGGTTGGGGACCACTGCCCTATAAGACGAGCCACCCAGAAAGCTAAGAAAAAAAATCCCACTACTGCATTACGTAACTTCTTTTTCTTTTGGTTTGGTTAGAGTTTCTCTCTTTTGAGAAGAAATTTACATACACAAATCTTAAGTGTACCATTTGAGACATTTTGAGTAAAGCGACCCTGGTGTAACCCAAATCCTCATTAACGTACAGAGTATTATCGACTCTGGAGAAAATACCCTCCTGCTCCTTCTCCATCAGTCCCCGTCCCTGCCCGCTGAGAGATGCCACTGTTCTGGTGCTCTTCATCACACTGGAAGGGATGCATTACTATATCATATTTTGCTATAAATTCTTTCTCTGCTACACAGAATTACATCTAGGGTTACTTCAACGGGCTCCATCATCTCTATCAATTCATCCCCACGTGGTTTCTGTCCTTCCCTGGTTTTCTGTGGAGATTGCTAGCTGGGCACTGTTGCTACCCCTAAAGCTACAATCCCACATACACGCACGGCTGTTTCAGTTGGAATTTTTCTTCCGTTATCTCACGTCTTTGAAGATACTGCTAATATCCACGCTAGCTCTTGCCATCCACCTTGCCCATCAGACAGGCTTTCTCCAGGGAGGGTCCAGACAGGTGGGAACTTTCTCACCTCAGGGATCACCAGCTTTCTCTTTGCCCTTCTTCCATAACTATAATAGTCCTTACACGAGGCTGAATTCAGCAGTGAATGTCACTCCTTGAATATCCCTCCTTTCTCCTTGAAAGTCTCAAGGTGAGAACTTCCTGTTTTAATACTAACAACACTATTTACTAGTAAGAAATAATCAAGTAATGAACGTATCAGCCACCACTCTGCTCACGTACCCAAGTTTCACACCTCCCAACAGGAGCCAAACCCTCTTTTTTCAACATGACGCAGTACAACTTTTATTTCTTGTTGGAGCAAGCCTCCCAATCTTACTGGAGAACCCTACTGCCCTCAGATGACACTAGATGTCATTTCACACAGTCCATTATTGATACAAGGTACTCAGTGAGAAATCAGGCCCATGTGGGCCGCACACAACTGGCTTCATTACTCACAATAAACACTAGCAGTCTAAGCACACAGAAGCTCCAGCTATCTGAACATTTGGGGCTAGACAGTCAATAGCAAAATTTTCTGGATGGATGAAAGCTACTCCCCTTAAGACTATTTGAAAGTTTACTCATTATAAAAATGATGATAAATATCAATTACGTTGCCCACTGGACACAAGGAAGCCCTGAGGCTCTATGGAAAGTGACTCTAGGTAAATTGCATTGTGTGTTCCTTGTTTCCTCTGTTCCTGATCCTTGCCAAGTCTAACACCTTCAACTCTGTTCTTAATCTCATCTCTGCCCCATTATTTCTAAAGGCTTATTCTAACTTCTTTTCAATCTCTTTAACCTATATCCACAAACAAGCCTGCAGACGGCTCCCCAGTTCTAAATGATAAACATCCCCCCAACCTCGACACTATTACCTGAAGCTGTCAGACTCTGCCTTCCTCCTCCTGCCATCCTGTGGTTCGAAGTCCTAGCTGCACATCAGAATTGTCTGGGTAGCTTTTTTAAAATAACAATGCCATCTTTAGCCACCAGGGAACAAATTAAATAACAATGAACTCTCATTTTAGGTTCATCGGACTGGCAGAAAATTAAAAAGAGAACGCTTTCTGCTGGTGGAGATGTAGAGAGCCACTGGCAGAAATGTGTGTTTATGCCCATTCATAAAGGAACTGACCATCCATTGTAAACTTAAAAAAAAACACTTGTTTTCCAACCACTTTGGAAAACTGTTTATTACCACATGATCCAGCAGTTCCATGCTTAGGTATTTACTCAAGAGAAATGAGAACAGACACCTCCAAAAAACCCATATGAAAATGTTCACAGCAGCTTAGTTCATAATATCCCCAAATTGGAGGAAACCCAAATGTCCAGCAACAGGAGAAGGGATAAAACAAACTGTGATATCGTTACACAATGAGATACTGCTCTGCAAGAAAAGACCAAAAGCAAACAACTGCTGCAATATAAAAATACAGGTGAATCTCAAAAACATTACACTGAGCAAAATAATTCAGACACAGAAAGGTATATACCACATGACTCTCTCTATATGAAGTTCCAGAACAAGCAGAATTAATATACGGAGAAAGGAGGAGGAACAATGGTTGCCTATGACAGAGTAGAGACTGCCTGAAAAGGGATGCCCAAGAACTGCCTACAGCGATGGAACTGCTCTAGCTCTTACTTGGAGTAGAATGTGAAAGTTTACATTGTCAAGATTTGTGTGCACACTGGCTGGGTGCCGTGGCTGTGAGCACTCTGGGAGGCCAAGGCAGGAGGATCCATTGAGGCCAGGAGTTCCAGACCAGCCTGAGCAAGAGGGAGACCCCATTTCTACTAAAAAAGGAAAAACTAGCTGGGCGTTGTGGCAGGAGCCTATGGTCCCAAGTACTCAGAAAGCTGAGGCAGGAGGATCGCTTGAGCCCAAGAGTTGAGGTTGCTCTGAGCTAGGCTGATACCATGGCACTTGAGCTTGGGCCACAGAGTGAGATTCTGTCTCAAAAAAAAAAAAAAGATTAGTGTATACACTGGTCAAAAATCAATAAGCTGCACTCTTAAGGTCTGTGCCTTTCATTGTAAAAAACGGATAAAATCATAAAATGGTTGAATTTGTAGTAATCAAAGAGACTTCAGGAAAAGACACAGGGCTGAGAACAACATCCTGTCTGGAAACCTACTCCCCTTAGGACTAAAAGCCTCCAGGAGGACAGGTAGGACGGTCTTCATGGCGGCACTGTTTCTGTTGGCCAAAAATCCAAGCTACCAGAGACAACAACACAATAGAAACTAACTTGTTAAAAGAAAATAAGGGTGTTCCTGTCGTAGCTAGTGTATCTTTAAATGATACAACTTGGAGGGAGAAAAACAAAATGCAGGGAAAGGTATACAGCACATCCCCTTCTTAAATAAATCATAAATAACTTCACCCTTATATATTACATAAGATTATATGATGAAAATATCATGAAATAAGATCTCCCCAGCTTGTTACTATGGATTTGGGGCAAGCGATGTGGGGGGAAGAGGAAAAAAGGAGAGAAGAACTTCCCTTCCTCAAAAATACTTTGTCAACAGCTTCCCCAATGCAACAATCATGGTGTGGTCCTGTGATTATGATATGATCTCATTATGTATGTTACTGTGCTTATTGTGAGGCCTAAAACACAACCAAATACCTAACTGCGCTATCCCTGAATAGTGGAAATTCAAATAATTTTGTTTTTTGAGACAGGGTCTTGCTCAGCCACTGAAGCTTGAATGCTGTGGTAGGATCACAGTTCACTGTGGCCTCTAACTCCTGGGCTCAAGCAATCCTTCTGCCTCAGCCTCCCACGTAGCTGGGACTACAGGTCCATACACTATCATACCAGGATAATTTTTTTAAAATGTTTTGTGTAGATATAGGATTTCATTATATTGCCCAGCCTGGCCTTGAACTCCTGGCCTCCAGTGATCTTTCCACATTAGCCTCCCAAACCTCTGAGCTACTGCGCTTAGCCCATTCAAATCATTTTTAAGTTCTACCCTATTCTTTTCTGGTTTGATGATGGGAAAAAAAAATTTAATTAAAAATACACTTAATACATACCATAAAGAATTCCTACAATTCAACAACAACAAAATAACCTGATTTTAAAATGAGCAAAGGGGCCAGGCATGGTAGCTCACACCTGTAATCCTATCACTCCTAGGAGACAGAGGCAGGAAGATTGCTTGAGCTTAGAAGTTCCAGACCAGCCTGAGTAAGAATGAGACTCCATCTCTACTAAGAATAGAAACAATTAGCTGGGTGTTGTGTTGCATGCCTGCAGTCCCAGCTACCTTGAGAGGCTGAGGCAGGAGCAGTTTGAGGTTGCTGTGAGCTAGGATGACGCCACAGCACTCCAGCCGGGGCAACAGAGTGAGATTCTGTCTCAAAAAAGAAAAAAAAAAAAAATGGGCCAAGGACTTGAATAGACATTCTTCCCAAGAAGACATACAAATGGCCAACAAGCATATGAAAAGATGTTCAACATCATTAATCATCAGGGAAACACAAATCAAAACCACAATGAGATATCATCTTATACCCACAGGATGGCCATTATCAAATAAATGAAAGATAACTAGGTCAGCAAAATGTGGAGAAACTGGAACCTTGTGCACTATGGGTAGGAATACAAAATGCTTCAGCTGCTAAGGAAAACAGCCTGGAGGGTTCCTCAAAAAAATGAAAAACAGAATTGCCAAATGATCATACGATCCACTTCTGGACATGAATGCAAAAAAATTAAAACCAGGACCTCAGAGAGAGAGTTTCTCCATTTCAGGGAAACCTCTTTGTGCTGCCCACATTCACTGCAGCGTTATTCATAATAGCCAAGAGGTAAAACCAATCTAAATATCCACCAAAGGATAAATGGATAAACAAAATGTGTCATATACAAACAATGGAATATTATTCAGTCTTGTAAAAAGGGAATTCATGTTACAATATGGATGAAACTTGAGAATGTTATGTTAAATGAAATAAACCAGTCACAAAAGGACAAATGTTATACGATTCTACTTGTATGAAGTATCTAGAGTAGCCAAATTCATAGAAACAGAAAGTGGAATGGGGATAGTCAAGGGCTGGGTAGCGGAGACAATGAGAAGTTCTTGTTTACATGCAAAGAGTTTGGGTTTTGCAAGATGAAAAGAGTTCTAGAGATTGGTTGCACAATAACATGAGTGTACTTAATACTACTGAACTGTATACCTAAAAATTATTAAGTTGGTAAATTTTATGTTATGTGTTTTTTACCCCTTAAAAATTTGTTCAGACCGGGCACAGTGGCTCACGCCTATAATCCTAGCACTCCGGGAGGCTGAGGCAGGAAAATCACTTGAGCTCAGGAGTTTGAGACCAGCCTGAGCTGTGAGATCCCATCCCTACCTTAAAAAAAAAAGAAAATTTTAAGTTGAGATGGTACAGGTCTACAACCTCTGTTCCACAACTCTGAATTCTAAAAAGCTCTAAAAACCAGAAGTCTTGATTACAGCCTGCTGCTCCACTGGTGTGCTAAATAATAAATGGTACAGGCACCATATTCATCTTCTAAAATTTGAAAAACTAACTTCTGACATACACCTGGCCTCCAAGGATTTCAGATAAAGGACAATTGACCTGTATTCACATAATATCCATTTTTCCTCTTTAGATGAGGGCAGACAGAGATTGATTATGGACACCTGACGGATCTATTCGCTAATGATGGATTACAATGATGGTTATATTCGCTAATGATGGTTTATGCTGATCCCTACTTTGGAAAAAACAATTGACAACCTGAGTGGAATAATTAGAAGGCAGCTCTTTATTTTGTTTTTTATTTTCCTTTTACCAATTTCAGGTTTTTGTTGCCTCGTACTGAACATTACAAGTCATGCCAGGAACACCAGACAGCCCAGGGTCTGCCCGGATGCACGGTGATGTCATAGGACAGCTTACCAGATCACACCGGGGTACGCTGGACACAAACTGGGCCCCCTGGCAGCCCAGGATAAATCCAGCGAGATTTAGTAGGACACAAACCACAGAGAGCAGCACAAAGAGGTTTACCTGAAATGGCAAGAGAATGGGTAGTTAGAGAAAGAAGGCAGCTAACTTTGGACACAGTTTTGACTGAATAAAAACACCCAACTTGCAAAAGGAAACTTTTTTATTTTTTTTATTGTTTCAGATTAATCGAGGGTATAAAGAATCAGAGCTACAATGTTTGCACTAGTTAGGTAAAGTACTTCTTAAAATTGTGTCTCACCCGCAAGAGGTGTGCCATACACCCTAACATTGTGCTCATTCAGTGGGAGCACACCCATACCCCACACCCACTTCCTTATTCCCCCACCCCCACCTTAGGTTGATTTGAGTTTTTCTCTTATGTGGACATATATTAGATCATCTACTGGCTAGGAAACTTGTTTTTTTTAGAGGTCACCAGCATGTCTTTAACATAACTAACTTTGCTCACATTTTAGAATTGTTTCAATTACACTGAGGAATGCCATTGACTCTCAAATCATCTCCATAAACTCAAGTCCCCGTTTTCCCCTCTTTGCAAATAGTTCTCACTCCCTTGTCTTTCATCTCTACATTACACTAAGCCTTGGCTTTCTCCTTGAGCCATTCTCTCCTTGTTTTTTAGTTTTGTAGGAGCAACACTAAGTCTACAAATGGAGAACTCTGGAATGTGAGTGGAACCCAGGGGAATCATGGAGCTCAGAGCCATCCCAGTCCAGGAATCACATTATACAGATAAACAAAAAGACGGATCTCTTTTCATTTCAGAATGATTTGGATAGCAAAGAATAACTACACAAAGATCTTCCATGTGCTTTTATCCAAAGTTAAGTAGTACAAATATTGTTCCAAATAATTAAAAATTGGCAGTACTCAACCAACAATCCAGCATTTACTTAGTACAAATTAGAGACTCTATAGGATTTTCACTTTAAGAGCTATGATTATTCTAAATATAAAACCTTATCACACATACAAAAGCAAAAATAAAGACAAGAGCCAATGATTATCAGTGTTAGTACTCAGCATCAATTCGGGTACCTGATATGTCAGAGTTGTCTGGTAAATGAGTTCACAGATGAACTCTAATGGAGGAACCTTGTTCTTTAATTATTGTTGTTATTCCAAGTCAAGCTTGAAAACATCTCCACAGACCCATTTTATGAGTCAATATTTGATATCATAAAACACCACTTTTCCTAAGGAGAATTTCTCCTCCTCTCCAAGAGGAATCTGGCTTCTCTTTGTATATTGTAATTTGTACACACCCTGTCATCAAATCTTTGGGTAAATGCTGGCAGTGGCTGCTATTGTGACTGTTTCCCAGACTGGGCTCCTCAGTGTCTACAGGACTTGACTTGAACAGCACATAGCATGCGTCCCCTCTCGCCCTATGTCATTCATGACTGTACCAAAGCTTCTTGGAAAAGTAGAATGTATAATTGGCAAAGGACAGAGCATGATCTTCCCACATGGGCTTCTTTTACACACTGGTAGTTGCCATCCAAAAAGATCTAATATATCTGGATCTTCATACCCAACACCACTATCACTGTGACTATGGGAAAATCTTTTTTTTTTTTTTTTTTTTTTATTGAATGGTAACTATGTACATTAATGCACTTCTGGGGTACAGTGTGGGGTTTTCACATGCAATCTGAAATACTTCCATCAAACTGGTCAACACAGCCTTCATGTCATTTTCTCAGTTATTGCTTTAAAATGTTCACATTCTACTCTTAGAAAGATTCACCTGTACCCCTATAAGATAAACCTCAGAAGTGATCCCTCCAAACCCCCTCCCTCCACCCATTCCCTCCTCCTTCTCCCTCCCCCCTCCCCATATTCTTAGGCTATTTGGTTATAGCTTTCATATAAAAGGTATAAATTAGTTTCATAATAGGGGTGTGTACATTAGATACTTTTTCCTCCATTCTCGTGATACTTTGCTCAAAAGAACATTCTCCAGCTCCATCCATGTGAACATGAAGGACGTAAAGTCTCCATCCTTCTTAATGGCTGCATAATATCCATGGTCTACATATACCACAGTTTGTTGATCCATTCGTGGATCGATGAGCACTTGGGCTTCTTCCATGACCTGGCAATTATGAATTGGGCTGCAATAAACATTCTGATACAAATGTCTTTGTTGTAATGCGATTTTTGGTCATCTGGGAATATACCCAACAAAGGAATTGGCTATGGGAAAATCTTGAACTTTCCTTTGGAAAAACAAAAATTTAATGCAATATGATATGCCTTGAAAAGAAGGTGTGATTACAAGCTCTATGTCCACCGACACTCTTAAAATTAATATCATCACATACAAAATGAGTGAGCGTTCATTACTTACAACACTAGACCGCCAAATCTCTTCTTAAAAATCTTAAATCCAACTCACTAAAGGACACAATTAAGAAAATCAACAGGTAAGCCACAGACTGGTAGAAAATACAGTGGAACCTCTGTAAGTTGACCACCCAAGGAACTGTAACAAGCTGGCTAACATACAAAGGTGATCAATCTTAGGAACTAGTCCTATTATACTGATACATACATGTCCAGTCTATGAAAATTAGGTCAACTTTGTAGGGAGGCGGTCGACTATGAAGATTCTACTGTATTTTCATGCATATGTTGAACAAACAACCTGTATCCTGAATATACAAACAGCTTCTCAGCCCAATAATAAAAAGACAAGCAACCCAATTAAAAACTAGGATATAAAAGACCCAAATAGATATTTCTCTCTCTCTCTCTCTCTCTCTCTCTCTCTCTCTCTCTCCCCGGCCACCTCTCTCTCACACACACACACACACAGGATATAAGAATGGCCAACAGTGTGCTTTGGTAACCCATGTACAACAACTGGAACAATATAGAGAAGATGAGCATGGCCCTTGTACAAGGAAGACCCATGAATTAAAAAAACAAAAACAGAAATAAATGGCCAATACACGCATGAAAAGGTGCCCAGCATTATTAGTGATCACGAACATAAATTAAAAACCATACTGACATATCATTTTACCATTTCACACCAACTAAAGTGGTTTAAATTCAAAAGACTAACAATACCAAGTGTCAATGAGGATGAGGAGTCCTTTACTTATAAAGGCATAAGATGGTTCAACCACTTAGAAAATCGTTAATTTCTTAAAAATTAAATATAAATTTTCCATGTCAAAGAATTCCAAATAACGTATGGAGATATTCCAACCTAGATTCCCTGCCCCTTAAGTGTGGGCTGCACAAGATGGTTTTCATCTAGGCTCGGCGCCTGTGGCTCAAGCGGCTA